ATATTATTATTATTATTATTATTATTATTATTATTATTATTTTACTGACACAAAAACACAGTCTGTCACAGCAAACGAGATCTATATGCTGGGTTTCGTATTGCAAAATTATTATTATTAGTATTATTTTGCTGACACAAAAACACAGTATGTCACAGCAAACGAGATCTATATGCTGGATTTCGTATCACGAAATTATTATTATTATTATTATTATTTTACTGACACAAAAACACAGTACATCACAGCAAACGAGATCTATATGCTAGATTTCATATCGCAAAAATATTATTATTATTATTATTATTATTTTACTGACACAAAAACACAGTCTGTCACAGCAAACAAGATCTACATGCTGGATTTCGTATTATTATTTTTATTTATATATATTTTATATATTTTTATTTTTATATTATTATTATTATTATTATTATTATTATTATTATTTTACTGACACAAAAACACAGTCTGTCACAGCAAACGAGATCTATATGCTGGGTTTCGTATCACAAAATTATTATTATTATTATTATTATTATTATTATTATTATTATTATCCTGCTTTTCTACCATGGGTGGGATTCAAAGTGGCGTCCATCATGTGGCGGTGAGTTCCACCATTCAACCATTCCCAACTGACAAAACACAGTATGTCACAGCAAACAAGATCTATATGCTGGATTTCGTATCACATAATAATAATAATAATAATAATAATTATTATTATTATTATTATTATCCTGCTTTTCTCCCATGGGTGGGATTCAAAGTGGCATCCATCATGTGGCGGTGAGTTCCACCATTCAACCATTCCCAACTGACACAAAAACACAGTATGTCACAGCAAACGAGATCTATATGCTGGATTTCGTATCACAAAATTATTATTATTATTATTATTATTATTATTATTATTATTATTATCCTGCTTTTCTCCCATGGGTGGGATTCAAAGTGGCGTCCATCATGTGGCGGTGAGTTCCACCATTCAACCATTCCCAACTGACACAAAAACACAGTGTGTCATAGCAAATGAGATCTATATGCTGGATTTCGTATCGCAAAATAATTATAATTATAATTATCCCACTTTTCTCCCATGGGTGGGATTCAAAGTGCCATCCATCATGTGGCGGTGAGTTCTACCATTCAACCATTCCAACGTCCCACCTTTGCTCTGGCCCCACGATCATTTCGATTACATCCAAATGCATAAGGAAGAGAGACATGGGGTAGATTGGAACCCAGGCCCAGCTATAAGCCAAAAATATATAACCCTGACAGCAATATTCACTCTGGGATTGGAAAGAAGCGCATCCCCGTAAAAATGCATCTTTGCTGTGGAATGAATGCAGTTTGGCAACCGCTTTCCTAGCCTGGGCTTAATGCTGTAGAATCCCGAGGGCTGTAGTTTGCAGGGAAGGCTAAAGGCCTTGCAAAACTACTACTCCTAGGATTCCATAGCATGGAGCCCCTCATTTCCATCTTTTCTCCCTGAACTTTGGGCCTGAAACCTGGTGACTTTCGTCCCTCCCCATACACTGGCATAATAATAATAATAATAATAATAATAATAATAATAATAACAACAACAACAAAACAACACTTAAATAATAATAATAATAATAATAATAATAATAATAATAATAATAATAATAATAAAGACTTTGGTCAGCAGTGCCTAAAGACCTTGGCCTGCACTTAAAAACAATCTTCTCTTCTTCTCCCCCAAGACCCAATTTGCCTCTATTTCCATCTTTTCTCCCTGAACTTTGGGCCTGAAACCTGGTGACTTTCGTCCCTCCCCATACCATACTCTGACATAATAATAATAATAATAATAATAATAATAATAATAATAATAACAATAATAATAATAATAATAATAATAAATACGACTTTGGTCAGCAGTGCCTAAAGACCTTGGCCTGCACTTAAAAACAATCTTCCCTTCTCCTCTGAGACCCAACTTGCCTCTAATCGACATAATAATAATAATAATAATAATAATAATAATAATATATAATAATAATAACACATATAATAATAATAATAATAATAATAATAATAATAATAATAATAATAAGACTTTGGTCAGCAGTGCCTAAAGACCTTGGCCTGCACTTAAAAACAATCTTCCCTTCTTCTCTTCTGAGACCCAACTTGCCTCTAATCTCCATATTTTCTGCCTAAACTTTGGGTCTAAAACATGATGATTTTTCCCCTCTCATCCTCTGGCCCACCATCCCTTTAAAAAAAGGGGTAGATATAATAATAATAATAATAATAATAATAATAATAATAATAATAATAATAATACACATATAATAATAATACACATATAATAATATAACACTTATATAATAATAATGATGATGATGATGATACTACTTTGGAGCCCACAGTGGCGCAGTGGGTTAAACCACTGAACTACTGAACAGTGATCCATGCAGTCATGCCGGCCACATGACCTTGGAGGTGTCTACGGACAACGCCGGCTCTTTGGCTTAAAAATGGAGATGAGCACCAAACCCCAGAGTCGAATATGACTGGACTTAATGTCAGGGGAAAACCTTTACCTAACCTAATAATAATACTTAAGTAATAATAAGACTTTGGCACAAGCCTGTCAAGGGGGTCCCTGGGTGCAGTGCCTAAAGACCCTGGCCTGTACTTAAAAACAATCTGCCTTTCTTCTCCTCCGAAACCCAACTTGCCTCCATTTTCCATCTTTTCTCCCTAAACTTTGGGCCTAAAACATATTAATTTTTTCCCCTCTCATCCTCTGGCCCACCATCCATTAAAAAAGAGGGGGAGATAATAATAATAATAATAATAATATACTATAATAATAATTAAAGAAGAAGACTCTGGCACAAGCTAATCAAGGTGGTCCCAGTGGTGATGGGCACACTGGGTGCAGTGCCTAAAGACCTTGGCCTGCACTTAAGCACAATCGACGCTGACAAAATTACAATCTGCCAGTTTCAGAAGGCCACCTTACTGGGATCTGCATGAATTATTGGCTGATACATGACAGAGTCTTAGACACTTGGGAAGTGTCCGACGTGTGATCCAATACAACAGCCAGCAGGGTGATCTTGTTTGCTGTGGACTCATCTTGTTGTGTTTCTAATAATAACAACCCTTGATTTGTATTCCGCCCTGGGAGTGGGAGAAGCTCTGGAGGGTCCAGAATGGCAAGGCTGGCATCTCAGGGCTCAAAGGTCCATTTCAAAACAGGGCCCACCTCCAAGGGGACTGGAGGGAGAAGAGGGAGGGAAAACGAGGAGAGGGCAAAGAAGGAAGGTAACTTGGAAGGGGAAGGAAGGAAGGAAGGAAGGAAGGAAGGAAGGAAGGAAGGAAAGGAAAGAGGAGGGCTTGGAAGAGCATGAAAGATGCATGTGAAAGAGGAAAGAAGAGAGAGGGAAAGAGCAAGGCAGGTGTCAAGAGGAGCAAAATGGATGGATGGGGAGATGAAGGAAGAAGAAAGGAAGGAAGGGAAGGGAAGAAAGAAGGAAGGAGGGAAAGAAGGAAGGAAGGAAAGAAAGAAAGAAGGAAAGATGGAAAGAAGGAAGGAAAGAGGAGGGGAGGGGAGGAAAGGAAGGAGGAAGGAGGGAAAGAAGGAAAGAAAGAAAGAAGGAAAGAAGGAAGGAAAGAGGACAGGAGGTAAGGAAGGTAAGAGAAGGAAGGAGAGAAAGAAGGAAGGAAGGAAGGAATGAGGGAAAGGAAGAAGGAAGGAAGGAAGGAAACAAGGAAAGAAAGAAGAAAAGAAGGAAGGAAAGTGAAGAGAAGGGAAGGGAAGGAAAGGAAAGAAAGAGAAGGAAGGAGAGAAAGAAGGAACAAACGTACGAAGGAAAGAAGGAATGAAGGAATGAAGGAAAGAAGGAACGAGGGAAAGAAAGAAGGAAGGAAAGAGAAGGAAATAAAGAGAGGGAAGGAGAGAAAGAAGGAAGGAACGAATGAAAGAAGGAAGGAAGGAAAAAAGGAAAGAAAGAAGGAAGGAAAGGGAAGGAAATAAAGAGAAGGAAGGAGAGAGAAAAGGAAGGAAGGAACAAAAAAGGAAAGAAAGAAGGAAGGAAGGAAAGGGAAGGAAATAAAGAGAAGGAAGGAGAGAAAGAAGGAAGGAATGAAAGAAAGAAGGAAGGGATGAAGGAAATAAGGAATGAGGGAAAGAAAGAAGGAAGGAAAGAAGGGAAGGAAAGAAAGAAAGAGAAGGAAGGAGAGAAAGAAGAAAGGAACGAATGAAAGAAGGAAGGAACGAAGGAAGGAAGGAAGGAAGGAAGGAAGGAAGGAAGGAAGGAGAGAAAGAAGGAAAAAAGGAGGAAGGCTCTTGGCAGAGCCTCTCCAAAGATGCAGGAGTGAAAGCAGGAGGGAAGGAGGAGGAGAAGAGAGAGAGACAGCAAGGCAGGTGTCAAGAGGAGCAAAATGGATGGAGGAAGGAAGGGATGGAAGGGGAGAAGGCGAGGAGGAGGATGCCCGGAAAGCCATTGCAAGCCAGGCGGAAGAAAGGATGGAGGGAAGGTTGTGAGGGGAGGAGGAGAGGGAAAAAGAAGGGGAAGGAGGGGGGGGGGGAGAAGAGAGAGAGAGAGAAGCGCCAGCTCGGAGGCTCCGAGGCCATGCAAGCACGGGAGATAAAGAGAGAGAGAGAGAGATGGGAGAGGGAGGGATGGAGGAGGAAAGATGGCACAAGGCGGAGGAGGAAGAGAAGGAGGATGCCCACCGGGAATCAAATCACCTGCCTCTCCCCCCCCCCTTTTTTTTTTTCCCTTTTGGAGGGGGAAGAAAGGGAAGAAGGGGAGGACAAAGGGGGGGGGGGCTTCCTTTGAACCAGAAGCATACAAAAGGGGAGGCGGGGGGGGGGGGGGGGAGGGATAGAGAAGAGACCAAAGGGCCAGAAGTGCAGGGAAAGGGAAAGGTCTGTAGGGGGCAATGTTGTGCTAAATGGGGATGGGGGGTAGGATGGGGTGGGGGGCAGGATCCGAGGGTCTCCTTACCTCCGCAGAAAGAGCTCCTCGGCCGGCTCCGGGGAGGGGGGCTCTCCTCCTCTTCTTCCCCTTCCTCTTCCTGCTCCTCTCCTTCTTCCTCCTCCTCCTCCTCCTCCCGCTTGGCCCTGAGTTCGGCCAAATTGGGGGGTGGGGGTGGAGGGGGGGGGGGGCTGGGAAAGGGGAGGGGGAAAGGGAGGGAGGCGGAGGGCGGGGGGGGGGGTCTTCTCAGCCGAAGGCCATGGGGCTCCTCTTTGGGGGCGGCGGGGAAGGAGCCAAGAAGGAGGGAGGAAGGCAAGGAGGGAGGGAAGGCGGAAAGGTGGACCCTCCTTCTCCTCCTTCTCCTCTTCCTCCTTCTCCTCTTCCTCCTTCTCCTCTTCCTCTCCTCCTCGGGTTGCGGTGGGCCTCGGGCCGGCCGCCCCTCCCGCCCGCCCTGCCTGAGGCCGACGCCGCCGCGCTGCTCGCTCTCTCTGTCTCTCTATCTGTAGCTCTCTCTCTTCCTCCCTCCTCCTCCTCCTCCTCTTCTTCCTCCTCCTGCTGCTGCTGCTCTTGCTCCTGGCCTGCCTCGCCGCCTCGCCTCGCCCACCGGTTCAACACACCTGGGAACAAATGGGGGAGGAGGGCAGGGGAGGGGCCAGGAGGGGAGGGGGGGGGGAAGAGGGACCCCCCACCTCACCCCTCACTTGGGGAAGGAAGATGGGGAGAGCACAGCAGGAAGGGGAAGAAAGGAGGAGGAGGAGGAGGAAGATGGGAAGAGCAGAGAGGAAGAAGGAAGAAGTGGAAGAAGGAAGAGGAAACGAGCAGAGACAGAAAAGAGAAGAGGAAGAAGGAAGAGAAGAGCAGAGAGAAAGAAGGAAGGAAGATGGGAAGAGGACGATGAAAGAGAAGAGCAGAGAGGAAGGAGGAGGAAGAAGGATGAGGAAAAGAGCAGACAAAGGAGAGAGAAGAGGAAGAAGGAAGAGGAGAAGAGCAGAGAGGAAAAAGGAAGGGGAAGAAGGAAAAGGAGAAGAGCAGAGAGGAAGGAGAAGGAAGAGGAAAAGAGCAGAGACAAAGAAGAGAGAAGAGGAAGAAGGAAGATGGGAGGGGGACGACGAAAGAGAAGAGCAGAGAGAAAGGAGAAGGAAGAGGAAGAAGGATGAGGAAAAGAGTAGAGACAAAGAAGAGGAAGAAGGAAGAAGGAAGATGGGATGAGGAAGACAAAAGAGGAGAAGAGCAGAGAGGAAGGGGAAAAGGAAGAGGGGAAGAGCAGAGAGGAAGAAGAGAGAAGATGAAGAAGGAATAAGAGAAGAGAGAGGAGGAGGAAGAACAAATATGAAGGAGGAGGAAGAGTGAAGACAAAAAAGAGGGAGAAGGAAGATGCGAAGAGTAAGGAGAAAGATGAGAAGAGCAGAGACAAAGAAGAGAGAAGAGGAAGAAGCAAGATGGGAAGAGGAAGACGAAAGAGGAGAGCAGAGAGGAAGGGGAAGAAGGAAAAGGAGAAGAGCAGAGAGGAAGGAGAAGGAAGAGGAAAAGAGCAGAGACAAAGAAGAGAGAAGAGGACGAAAGAGGATGGGAAGAGGAAGAAGGAAGATAAAGAGAGCAGAGAGGAGGAAGAGGAAAAAGGAAGAGGAGGAGAGCAGAGAGGAAGGAAGAGGAAGAAGGAAGATGGGAAGAGGAAAAAGAAGATGAGAAGAACAAAGAGGAAGAAGAAAGAGAGAAGGAGAACAAAGATGGGAGGAGAGAAGAGGAAGAAGGAAGATGGGAAGAGAAGAGGGGAAAGAAGAAAAACATGGGAAGGGAAAAGAGCCCAGAGTGAGAGAGAGAGAAAAGAGTAAAAAGATAGGAAGAGGAAAAGTGGAGGAAAACCTTAGAGAAGGAAGATGGAAAGAAAAGGAAGTGAGAAATAAAGGAGAATAGAGGAGGGTAGATAGAGGAGAAAGAAAGAGGAAGAACAAAGTGAGAATGGGGAATGGTAGGAGAAGAAAGAGAGGAAGAAGGAAGCAAAAAAACACAGGAAGAGAAAAGAGACAGAGAGGTGAAGGAGAAAAGGGAGTAGAAAGATAGGAAAAGGAGAAGTGGGAGAAAATGTGAGAGAAGAAAGATGGGAAAAGGAGAAAGGAGGACAGGTGGGAAAAAGACAGAAGAAGGAGATGAAAAATGAGGAGAGGAGAAGGAAGGAATGATAATAAGAGATAGAAAAGAGAGAAAAGAAAACTGGAAGAAGGAAAATAAGGAAGGTAGAAGAGAAGAAAGGAGGGAAGAAGGGGGGAGATGAGGAAGAAATGAGGGAAAACAAAGATGGGAAGAGGAGAGAGAAGGAGAGGGAAGAAAGAAGAAGGGAGGATGGAAGAGAAGAAGCAGGTCGAGAAGAGCAAGAAAAGGAGAAGAGAGGAAAAAGAGAAGGTGAGGAAAGACATGAGAGTGAGAAGATAGAAGAGAAGAAAGGTGGGAAGAAGGGGGAGTATGAACAAAGAGAAGAAAAATGAGAAAAGAGAAGAAAGAGGTGGGAGATGAGGAAGAAATGAGGGAAAATAAAGATGGGAAGAGGAGAGAGAAGGAGGGGGGAAAGAAAAAAGAGAGAAGAAGGGAGGATGGAAGAGAAGAAGCAGGTTGAGAGGAGTGAGAAAAGGAGGAGAGAGGAAAAAGAAAAGTGGTGAAAGAGGAAAGACGTTAAAGAGTGAGAAGTGCCAAGGAGGAAGGGAGAGCAAGAGATGGTAAAGAGGAAAAGTGATGGAAGAGAAAGGGAGAAAGAAAGGGATAGAAGAAGAGGAGAAGACAGGGAACAGAGGAGATTTGGATGGAGGAGATGAGATACAGAGGAAAGCAGGAAGAAGAGGAAGAAGAAGAAGAGAGCAAGAAGCAGAAAGAGGGGTAAAGGTGGGAGAAAAGAGCCAGAGGGGAGAATAGAAATGAAAGAGAAGGAGTGAGAAAGGTAAAAAGGAGGGGTGGGACTCTCTATCTGCTTTGGGGTTTGGCAGGCCACCAAAGGAGAGCAATAAATAGATGGAGATCAGATACTAGGAGTGAAAACCGCCAGTAAGCAAATACGGGAAGGTGATATCAAGAGAGGGAAACAGGCTGGAGAAAGAGAGATCCTTGCGGGAAGGGATCCTTTCCAAAAGGAACACAAGGCCTCTGGGGAGTCCCAAGTGGCCATGCCATCGTCCCTTCCGTTCAGGCCGGCCTGCTTCCCTCTCCCTCTCCTCCCTTTTGCCCTCAGGGACCCGGGTGAATGGTTATTGATGGGATTCAATTGACCACAAAAACAGGCAGGAGAGAGACAAGGATTAGGAGCATCGCTGATTGGGGTGAGCGCATTGTACAGCGCATGGACACTGCACAATGGATGCAATTTGGCACCACTTCCACTGCCATGGCTCAGTGCAGTGGAATCCTGGGGTTGGAGTTTGGTGAGGAACTGGCACTGCTTGAGAGAGGAGGCCTCGCAAGACTATAACTCCCATATTTATTTACTTATCGTATCAGGAGCGAACCAAACAGTTCTATTGTATTTTTTAAATACAATACCGCATATATATATATATATATATATATATATATATATATATATATATACGCAAACACACATATACACAAATATATACATATACACAGGGTTGTTGTAGGTTTTTTCGGGCTATATGGCCATGTTCTAAAGGCATTTTATCCTGACGTTTCGCCTGCATCTATGGCAAGCATCCTCAAAACCTGCAACAACCCAGTGATTCCGGCCATGAAAGCCTTCGACAATACACATATACACAGACTGGGCCACAGCAACATGTCTCAGGGGACAGCTAGTATATATATAAAGTTTGCAAACTTGGCGTTCTATTAAATGTCCTTTGACCAGGAGCTGGCCACTTGGAGGGCCTCTGTGCAACAATGTGATGCGGTGGCAAAAAAAAAGCCAATGGGATTTTGGCCTGCATCAATAGGAGTCTAGTGTCCAGATTCAGGGAAGTCATGCTCCCCATGCTCTATTCTGCCTTGGTTAAACCACACTTGGAATCATACTGTGTCCAATTCTGGGTACCACAATTGGAGATATTGACTCTAAGCTGGAATGTGTCCAGAGGAGGGCGACTCAAATGATGAAGGGTCTGGAGAACAAGCCCTATGAGGAGTGGCTTAAAGTGCCGGTCATGTTTAGCCTGCAGAACAAGGCTGAGAGGAGACATGACGAGGGCCATGGATCAAGATGTGAGAGGAAGTCCTAGGGAGGAGGGGAAAAGTTTGTTTTCTGCTTCCCTGGAGACTAGGACACAGAACAATGGCTTCCAACTACAGGAAAGGAGATTCCACCTGAACATTAAGAAGAACTTCCTGACTGTGAGAGTTGTTCAGCAGTGGAACTCTCTGCCCCAGAGTGTGGTGGAGGCTTCTTCTTTGGAGGCTTTTAAACAGAGTTTGGATGGCCATCTGTTCATGTCCAGCATTTATTTTTAAAGTTTTAACTATTAAATAATAATAATAAACAAGACTATACAGAAGCGAGACTATACAGAAGATCTGTATAGGAAGGATAATAATATCGAGGATAGTTGTGACGGTGTGGTGAGTGAATTAGAACCAGACATCCTGAGGAGTGAGGTGGAAGGGGGCCTTAAGAAGCATTGCTAACAACAAGGCAGCAGGAGATGACGGGATCCCAGCTGAACTGTTTAAAATTTTAAAAGATGATGCTGTCAAGGTGATGCATGCCATTTGCCAGCAAATATGGAAAACACAAGAATGGCCATCAGACTGGAAAAAATCAACTTATATCCCCATACCAAAAAAGGGAAATGCGAAGGACTGCTCCAACTTCCGTACAGTGGCCCTTATTTCTCATGCCAGTAAGGTAATGCTCAAGATCCTGCAAGGAAGAAGACTCCAGCAATACATGGAGCGAGAGTTGCCAGATGTTCAAGCTGGGTTTAGAAAAGGCAGAGGAACGAGAGACCAGATTGCCAATATCCGGATGCTGGAGAATGGAGAAAGGCAGGGAGTTTCAGAAAAACATCTACTTCTGCTTCATTGACTATTCTAAAGCCTTTGACTGTGTGGATCATAATAAATGTGGCAAGTTCTTGGTGGGATGGGCATCCCAAGCCCCCTTCCCTCTCTCCTGAGGAATCTGTACAAGGACCAAGGAGCCACAG